CTAACGATCAATTAAAAATGTTTGAATATTTTTATATTTGATAAACTGAAAAGCAAAAAAAGGTATTCATTGTATTGTTAACAATGAATAAACATATAAAATAAAGGCACTATGTTTTATAAATATCGATGATTAGCAAGTGAAATATGAACACGTTTTCCCGATACAATTGGTGGTAAGATTTCAATAGTTGTTGTTTTAGGTGAATTATTATTTGTTCTATTAAATTTTGTTTTTGACGATGATGAATGATGATGATGATGTGTATGACCACCTTTTCGAATATTTTGTACAATTTGTGATTGTTCAAATAATTTATTTGAAGAATTTTCATTTGTAATTGATAAATCACCGGTTGAAGAAGTATTTGATGTATCTAAATTTCTTTTCAAAACAACTTTCTGTTGTTGTAAATAACGATGAGTTGGTGGTGGTGGTGGAAATGAAACTAAAAATAAAATATTTTTCTTCAATTTCAAAAACAAAAAATAAATGTAAAAACCTGGTTCAGTAGAAGGTCGATTACTACTAGTCGCAGATGATATTTCATTATCTTGATGAAAACTTCTCTGTTGAGCTAATTTTTCTAATGAAATACTTTGAAAATTTTTTTGTGGTGATGACTCAACAGGTGTTACAGTTAATCCAAGTGGTGATTTTTGTTGTACAATAAAATGTGATGTTTGATTAATTTTAATTTGTTGTGTTGATATTGTTGATAATGGTGATGGAATAAATTCATCACGTTTTCCATGACGTTCATCATTTGATGGAACATTTATTATTGTTCGATTTGCATTTATTGTTGATGCACCACGTGTTAATAATGATGTTAAATGTTCTTCTAATAAACTTTTTAATGCATCTTGATTTACTTGTTGATCAGGTGTTGAAGATTTATTTGTTACATGACGAAGTGGAAGACGATAATCAGCTGTTGTTGATGTTAAATCAAGAGAAGTAGCTAAAAGAACAAAAAAGATTGTTTTGAAAAGAAATATATAATTAATTTTACATGAACGAAAAGTATTTGCGGGAACTTGAGATGGAATATCAATAACTATTGGTTGATCTGACCAATCATTTTCTGATAGAAGATCTTTTTCTTTTCTTAATAAATGTCGAATTCTTTCAGGTGGAAGATTATTTTTTGATATTTTTGGATTGATTTGAAGATTTTTTAAAAAGATAGGTGCAGATTTTGGTTTTTCATAACGAGGTAAATAAATTCCAATATCATGATGAAAATCTAAATTTCGCCGTGTTAAATCAGTTTTTGTGGAAGCATTTTGTGCTGGTGACCAGATATCAAGACCATCAGCCCAATCAGGTGTATGTGCAAAACGTGAAGAAGATTTTGATGGAATATTTGATAATTCAATTAAACGTTTTGTTAATGATTGATTTAATGATTGAGAACAATAAGAATGTGAAGATGAACTGTCTTCAAATGCTGATAGACCCATTTCTTATTTTCAATAATAACAAGAAAAAAAATAACATTTCTTTTTTCTTTTTTTTTCTTCGCTTAGAAATTTTTCTAGAATTATTGGAGTAAGATTTTTATCCAATAGAAAGAAAGAGGTAGTCATACTAACAACATGATGCATTGTTCATAACAACAGACTTTTGTCACTTAATTTATTAGAGAACTAATTATCATTAGAATAAGTAGTAACTTGACTTGTAAATAATTCAACCGAGTTTTGTTTATAATTTTATTGTTCAAAATAAAAGTTATCATTTTTTTGATAAAAAAATATCTTTTTGACTTCGAAGAGAACAATGAATTTCTTTTTTTGAAAGAAACGTGTATTTCAAGTTTCTTTCAATGTTTTTTCAAGTATAAAAATAAATGATCAACAAGAAAATAAAATTTTTAATTATAATAAATTCAAAAAAAACTAAAAACGCTTGTTGTTTTTTTAATTCTATTATTGCTTGTTATTCTTCTCGGTATAGTAGAATATGTTATTGTTTGTATGAAACAAAGAAAATCAATGTTTTCTCCATTAGACAAAGAAAAAGAAGAAAAGAATTGAAAACAAGTCTATGTTTAAGATTGTTCATTATAATTAATTTTTTCATAATAATGTGAAGTAATTGAATTATTTCGTGTTGGGGACATTCCGTAGAGTTTTGCTGTACTGTCTGCTGTACTTATTGCACCAGTATAAAGTGATGGATATTCAATAAATTTAACATCTGGGGTTTTGGAAATGACTGGAGTCTTTCGAGCTTTGCGTTTTAAATACAAACATATGATAAATACACTGATTAAAACACTAACAAGAATTCCGGCAACAGCACCAATTATAGGACCAATTAAATTTAGAGATGAATGAGAATCGTCTCCTTCAACAGGTCCTAAAAATAAAATATAATTATATCGATTTACGAAAAAAAAGAATATAATTTTACCAGGTGGAGTAGAACCTTGAATAGGTTTTGGTGGGTCTGTTGGTTTTAATGTTGATATCGGTAGTACTTGATTTGAAGGAGGTGCAGCTTTAATTAACAAGAAAAAAAAATATATTTATATTTAATCTTTGATTTATGTTTATATATTCTTACTAAAAACTTCGATAATAAAACAATGTATGAGAATAACGATGTATGACATAAACATGTTAAAAAAAGAATACTTTATCAAAATATGAATAATATAAGAAGGAGAAATAATGTTCTATTCATAAACATTAAATCGTTTATCGATTCATGCTAATACCTTTATATGATTTCTTTTTTTTTCTCTTAAACCTAATTCATCTACTGACTCAACTTTTATGGGTACCTATTATTTTTTATATATTATTTCAAAGAATAAATATCAGTCATTAGATTTTTATTATTTATTATAGTTCTTGATCGATGATCTTTTTTTCTGGTAAAAAAAAGAATTGATTTGTACTATTAGGTACATAATGTTAAATTAATCAAATTTAATAAAATATATTTGTGAAATCTTTTTGTTTTAACGAATAATTTAAATATTTGTTGATGATTTATTTTACTACATCGTAGATATAATTTGATCATGTGACATTATTTTTACCTTTCTTTATTTACTCTATACTACCGATATCTACTTATTACGACATATTTTTGTGCGTGGAGTGATAGTATAAAATGTAATTCGTCCTTGTATTTATTTTTAAATAAATATTTTACGTTCGTCTCACTACGATTCAAATTATTTTCTTAATGAGTACGCTCAATTCTGATCAAACTAGAAAGAATAGTGTATTTGAAGAAATTCAAAAAATATTTGTTGTATGGTAAGTGATCTTGTTAAAATAATTTTTAATACGAATTTACAATTAGGAATCCATGGTATAAAATACTGAATAATTTTAATTTTAAAAATAATTTAATTAAATCACATGAAACTATACCTGTTGATAATACATTATCTGAGTTGGATGATGATACAATTGAACAGTAAATTACAATATCGATAAAATAATTTATGATATTAACAAAATAAATTTCTTTTTCATATTTTAGTCGTGCGAAAATTGTACAAATGAAACCATTATTTCAGACATCGACCCGGTCTTCAACTACAGTAAGTAAATCATTGAAAGTTATTTATCTGTTTATATAAGCGTTATTCTTTCTTCAGACAGAATATTGTTCTCAACATCTAAGCAATATAGGTATTGATAAATGTCATAGATGTAAGAAACACATGTGTTTCGATTGTCGACAACAACTTACTCTTGGTCCTAGTATCATTAATTATTGTGAAAAATGTATTGATGATGTATCATGTACTATTCAATGAATATTAAACCTTTCAATTTAAAGAAAAGCCATACATATGAAGTGTGTTCTATGTTTACCTTTTTTTTCTCAATTGAATATTTAATTCAAGAAATTTACATAAACTTTTGAAAAGATTATTGCGATAGTTATTTTTCATAGATTATTATATTTATTGTGTGTTTATTTAAAACTTTTCATTATTTTTATAGTGATCAAAGCAAAAATGCTTGTAAATTGAAATATAATTCTTTTTCAAAAATAATCTAGCTAATTTAAACGTTTGAAAAACCTTCGGCTCACACTCATATATAAAATTCGTATTTATATCATATCGGATGAATCAGTAATTAATAGCTCATTTCCAGTTGTTCTCTACATATAAAATCTGTGTTTTCAAGTTTGATACTCATGAAAAAAAACCCACAAACTTCATCTAGAAATTGTTGTTGAAAGTTCTTCATATAACTTTCATACTAAATATAGCTCGTTCAAGTGTTGTCTACGTAGACATAGACATGTTCAAATAAATTTTTATAAATTTGTCTATATTTAGAGCAAAATAAATATTTTTAAAACTGTGCCATATTAAACTAAATTCATTACCACAAATATGGTCTGTTTACGTTATTATCCATGAAGATATTTTATATTAATTACTTGAATGAATTATAACAATCGATGCAATACATTTATCTTCTAATGAAATTAAAACGAATAATATTGTATATAAATCTGACAAAATTCTGTTCTTCGAGAAGATTTTATTATGATTAATATTGTCAAGAAATTGCGATGTGAAAATTTTACTACTGTAAATTCTAAAGTTAATACGAACTAAAGGATAAGTAAATATATTTATTAGTAATAACATCAGGATCTGATGTCATGGTGCATGACGTATTTTATATATTTGATAATATCACGTTCAAACATAAGTGTAGACTATCATCGATCATTCCAAATTATCACGGCTTCTTTAATTTAATTAAATATATTTCAACACGCTAGTTTTTTTAGAACAGACTCGACTTGATAAGTTGCAGATAATTGCGGACGTGTTAGCTTTTATTTGCAAACTTGAGATAATTACCAACGTGTTAACTTTTATTTGCAAATTTCAGATAATGAACAACACAAGTAGAGATCTTGTATGAGAGAAGAAAAATATTGTTTTGCGTATATAAAATGTCAAATGACGCATCGTTACTAGTGATAAATGAGAAATAAATATACGTCAAATACCATGGTTTACTTGTAGATCAACGATCGTGTTTAGAGACGTACACATTTTTAAATCTCTCAGTTGTTAAGATGCATGCGCAAGTGCTCGCATTATTATTGCTCGTTTTAATCAAATCTAGTGAAATATCTACTGAAAAAGTAGTACCATCACTATCATTGTCTGCATTGGTGGTATCCTCAGATACAGGATCAATATTAGCTGATTTAACCGAAACACCCTCACCCACATCATCTACATCAACAACATCAATAACATCAACAACATCAACTACATCAACTACATCAACAACAACAACATCAAATACAACAATAACAACAATAACAACAACGATAACAACAACGACAACAACAAAAGCAACAGCAGCATCAACAATAGCTGCATCAATATTCGTAACCATTATCAGTTTGGTATTTATGATTTTTTTCATTCCAGTGGTTTAATTTACTTTCAACTAAATGATTGTTCAATTTCAAAAAACTTTTCTTGTATCTTATGTAGCGCGCTTTTGTTTAATAAAATGAATAGGAACTAGAGGCCGTCACAGGGCAAGAGCGCCCTGTTGTCCCTCCCCTGTCCCTGCTTTTCCTGCTAATTTTTTTCACAAACATGATTTTGGCGAAGACTTTCTAATAAATCCTATTGATATCTACACCAATTAAATATCTATTTCACAACACTCCGGTCTCAGTTACAATTTTTCCAGCATACATTATAATTCGATTTCTAATGTTTTCATTATTTTTCTTTTACATGTTTTTCTCTAACCAATGCTTGTAACTAGACGTCAGATTCCATCCCAAAATAATACGAAAGAAATGTAAGGATTGAATAAATGTAAATATGATCTTCATTTTTTAAAATAACAAAGATAAAATAGAAATGAGGGGTAAACCTTTTTATGTCATAGATAAATAGATGAATATCTAGAATAATAGAGACTATATCAGTAGATATTCTTACCCACCATCAAAATCAGTTAAATACGTAACACTATAATTCATAAATAAAACGGAAAGCAGAAAAACTAATATCGTGGACTTTGTTGAATATTTTATTTATATTCATAATATCGTAAATTAGTATAAGCTGTCAAATAAACAATAAAGACTAGGCTTTTTTTTATAGATAGATCCTTTGTCATTTATTCCATCTTTATTTTATTGAAGCCAATTAAAATAGTATTTATCTTCGCAGTAGAACGAGAAAGAAAATCTATCGCTGTATTTTATAAAGATCAATATTCCACGTATGTTTACTTTTATAAAATGATATTATATTTATCTTCTATAAGTATGAAGATTTTTGAAGTAAGATCCCCATTGTTACATAGTCAACTAACAAAAACGTTGTTATCAATATACCAAGTGTTTTAACAGTGAAGATCAAGTTATAAGTCCTAGCTGTGATGGTCTCTGAAAGGAACCATAGAAAATGAATTTTAATTTTGGATTAATTCAAAGGATTTGATATTTCTAATGAAATATTATATTTATACAATAAATTTTCTTCGAATTAATATTATTGTTGAAACTAGAGAGTAGTTCTATTTATGTGAAAAAATATAAATAACTAGACTTAGAAAAGTTATTATGATAAATTTCAAAAATTTCCAGTGCACAGTACAATCAGTTATAAAGGAATTTTATTTTATTTATCTTTTATGGAATATATGTGTTTAATCGCAAAAGCAAATCTACATTTACTTATAAAATGCTATGATATGCACTTATATATAAGACAGGAATATGACGCAGTCAGCGTTGAGATTATCAAATCATTTTTTTCTTACGATAATAAATCGATAAAATGAAATTTTCATAATATTATCGTTACAAAATTCTGTTCGATTCAGTATCCAATATCTGAGACCTAATGGCTCAAATTTTCAAGTGCGCAAGTGTCGGTATGAATATACAGATTGGCTTCATCTTAAATTCTTATTCATTTATATTGTCGTATACATTCTTATTCTCACTAATTTATTGTTTATTAGAATTTCAACTTATGTGCTAAAATCGAATTAGACATAACATGTGATCTCTAAAAGAACAAGTAAAAATATCGAATTCAATTCTACGAATTACAGTAGTTATGAAGTAAACATATTTTCTTTGTTTTGTATGGTTACATGACTTTTATCGATCTTTTATGTTCAATATCTTTCATCATTTTTGCTTATATATAATGTAATTGAATACGAATCACATGCGTCACGCTTGTTTAATAAACGCAGGTAACGTTCACATTGACGCAGCACTTTTTATCATTTTCTTTTCCTCGCTCACACTTTAGTTTTGAGGTATAATTATTAGTGTACACGTATAATTCAAAGTAAATTTTTTATAGAACGTATTCAGATGTAAACTTTTATCTAGATATCACTCAAACTCATATGGTTTGGAAAGGAATCTATAAATATGTATATATAAATATTGCCGAAACAATGATATTCAATAAATTTCTACGATATATTTATTTTTTTCTTTGTAAAGTAATAAATGTATATTATAATGATAGTATGTCAACCATATCGTTATATGTATATGATAGATCGGCGACCATTTTTTTTTGTTATTATTTAAGTTTTCATTCCGCTTTTAGTCCAAGATTTTTTAAATGAGTTTTCCATATAAACAAAAAAGGATAAATATTATTTTGTATAGAATAAATCATAGCACATCGATTGATATATAGAATATATAATACTTGTATTAAAACAAAACATAGTATCGACTAATGATCAATATATTATTTATAATTTGTCTTACTGAATATTGTAATATAAATTAATAACATATTTGTTTTTTTATTTTACCTGTATTTTGGCAAATGATTGTTGTACTTGTGAACGAAAGTACAAAACAACAGATATGATTCATCTTGTTTCTATTCTAATTTTATAGATTTATCTAAGTCCTATTATTTCACAATAATAATGAATACAAACAAACGATTTCTGTCTATTATTGGATTAATAATAGTTAGTTCGGTTATTTTCTATTTTCGACGTTATTATCATTTAACCGTTGAATTATCGATTAGAAATATTGTTCCAGTTGTATCAAATATCCCGTTAAAACCGACATTATCTTTGCCAACATCGAAAGATTTACTTTTCTTGTATGAAAAAGAATTTTCTCGTCTAGAATTAACTTCATTTCGACCAACATTTCATAATTATCATTTAACATTAAAATTAAATTTAACATTATTCGCAACAGACTATTTCGATTATCTTAAAAATTGTTCAACAAACTCAATTTGTAATTATAAAATAATTTGTTTACAAAAAAATAAAACAACAAATAATTCTTATTCAATTTGTGATATTAATTTAATTTTTCAAGTAAAAATCTTAAATTCAAAAGAAATCCAATTAACTTTATTATCAAGTAATTCATCTTATCCCATAACATTAGAAAATAAATCCGATATAATCATTATTAATATTCATAAAGCATTTTCAATAGAAAATATATTTCATTTTACTCATCAATGGTCTGATTTAAATCATCCATTAGACATATTTTGGCGTTCATGGCCAATAACAACAGAATGTATAAAATCTTATTTAAATCAATCATTAGAGATAACACGAATAAAATCTCTTCCATGTTCTTTAACTAATATTTTGTTACATTCCGGAGCAAAAGAATTATTTGTTGCCGAACAAAATGCTGTTTCAACTTGGCTTGATTTACAATATGAAATATTTCTTAATCAAAGATTACCAAAACAAATCCATAATAGAAGTTTAATTCCATTTGAAATGGCAAAAAATCCAAATGTATGTTCAAATCAATTTCAAAAATGGATTTTCGATTATCAAAAATGGCATGAAAATCTAACTTTTTATATTAATAATGGATCAATGACAATCGAAGAACAACGTAAACGTATAATTGAAGAAAATGTTCGATTTTTAATCTATGAAAAACATACATCAGGTATTGCTGATCGAATAATTCATTTAATTTCAACATATTTAATCGCATTATTAACAAAAAGATTATTTATATTTGATAAAGATTGGCCGGAATTTACTCAAATAATGCAATTAAGTTTAAATTCTGACCAAAAATTAATTATCCCATGGATTGATCAACTTGGTGTACTTAATAAAAATTTCAATTCAACTGATCGAAATTATTTAACTTCGAATAGTCGATGGTTTTCTTTTGATCGATTTCTTCAAACATATGATTATGATAAAGTATTTCCTGAACGTATTTTAATATTTAAAGGGCATACAGGTGGTGTTATACAAACACTTCATTCCAATTCAAGTATTTATAGAAAATTTTTAACGGAAAATCTTAAAATGAATACGAATAATATCTTTGGTTGTCTTTATCATTCACTTTTTACATATAAATTATCAGAATTAATAAATCGAGTTCCATTTAATTCATCCGATCCACCAATAGGTCATTCATCACAATTTATTTTACAAATACTTTTATCACCAATATTTTTTCCAGTTGGTGTTCAAGTTCGTGCTGGTGATGAAACAATGAATGAAAATAATATTGATCAATCGAGACTTGATACAAATCCTGCAGAATTTATTGAGAGATATGAAAATTATGTTGTATGTACTCAACAAATGATTTCAATGAATACAAAGTTATTTGAAAAAACAAATCGAACTCCAATTATTTTTCTTTTATCTGATAGTTATGAAATTCGTATAGCAACATTGAAACTTAAACAATTATCATTAGAATGTTATAAATCATCTAACAAAGAATGTCGATTAGATCCTAATGAATTACATGTATTAGCAAGTCCAAATCCTGTTTTTCATGTATCACTTACTAAAAATCGAGTGTTAGCTTTTCAATTGGGAATGTTTGATATTTTTCTTTTTAGTTTATGTCAACAACATCTTATTAGTACAGAGAGTGGTTTCGGTCGTTTTTCAGCTTTTGCATCTCTAAAACAACGAAATATATATTCACTTGCTCTTAGGGAAAAAAAATCATGTCAAAATGATGGTCTACCACTTTCAAGTGTAGGTTATCATTGGTCTGGAATTTAAAGATTTATTTAATAAATTTTATAAATATTATTTAATACATTATATAAATATATAAGACAAAATTTATCTAAAATTATACATACGGTTTAATAACTACGCAATATATTCTCAAAAGAAAATACTTCCAGAAATGTTTAAGTATAGTATATGAAATTAGACATACCGCTTATACGTACAGGAATATATAAGTTACGAACAACATTAAAATATGACATTATGAGAATAAGATATATAATCGACATATCACGTTAGTTACAGTCATTAGCATTTCTCAATCATTTTGCTAGTAAATGAATATGTGTGAATTTGAAATGAATTGAAAAAATCATCTTTAACAGATAACTCATTCGAGAAATAGCAATATTGTATATTTAATTTGCACGATTCCGATAACGATTTCTTATGATGAATATTCTAAATCAAAAACGATTTTGTAATCTAAGGTTTTGATTTTATGATCTTTCTTAACAAAACTTTCGCGTTTGTCGATGCAAATTCTTGTGAACATATCTATTAAATGAACATATACATTTTCGTGAACAAATGAAATGATTACTAATAATGGAACTCTTTACTTCTCTTATCCTTATAACATACTCATATCCGATATCTAACAAATTCTAATTGGAGTTATGTATCAAGGAAACGGTTAACTTCGAGTAGGATCTTGTTCGAAGTCATCGGACTTGGCGAGCTATTCTATACGATCTGATAGATTCTTAAGTATGGATTCTTTGTCCTGGACTTATATATACTCCTGAGAAAAAGTCATTGATCGCTTGAGAGACTACCTTCACTGGAATTAATCCACAATCAGTTATCAACAGTTTTGACTTTTTGAGCTTTTATGTTCTTCTCTTAACAATAGAGACTAGTTGAATTAACTCTCTTTCACAATCAACTTGATGTTATACGATGGACAATCTAATATTCTTTCTTTTTTTTTACAAAGGATAATCATCATTTTTTTGTCCTATCGTCAACCTTGCATAATTACGAATAAAATATAATTTACTTGATTAGCATTCAAATGAACTTTGAAGATTATAATTTTTCAGTCTAGCGTGCTTATCAATGTTATTTTTGAGTACTTTCAACAGAGTCAAATGGATGTGAATTTAGTGTTGCATATTTATAATTCAATGGAAGTCAACAACAGAAAAGAAAATCTTCCTGTTGTCATATGAGTACGCGAAAAAGATTTTATCATGTATATGGAAATGCAGATTAGTGTTGCAGCTTTTTGCAAAATATCGGTTCGTTAGTTCTGATGAAAGAAGAGAGATAAAAGCGTCAAAAATATATGCGAAGAATATAATGTTGAAATTTCTTTACAATAATGACATTTTCTACAATGATATAAAAACTTATAAAAACGACACTCTTGTTATTTTTATTTGATTGCACAATTATACACTTTTTCTTTTTACCTTATCATTTTGTGAGAAAGATTTTGTTAGAAAGAGATGGTTGACATAATTTACGTAATACGCATTGTAGACATCACCATTCTTTTGGTTACTTCTGTATCATCAATGATCTATCTGATATCAATTATTTCCATTCGACGCTTTCATACAGTGACAAATATTCTAATAGGAAACTTCTGTTTGGCTGGTATTCTCTCTACCTTTTTTTGGATTATTATGAACATATTGTTTGGATTTTATTCGACTATACCAATCCAACCTTTAGTTCTTTGCATTATTTCTTCTTTTTTGGAAGTAATACTTACCGGTTCATCCATTTATTCTTTAACATTGATTATCATAAATCGATATTTAATAATAATGTACCCAAATAAGAGATTTTTCAATAGACGAGCATGGTCTTTTATCTCATTGGTTATACAGTGGATAGTGATCATTCTTTTATCTTTACCTCTTCTCATTCAGGTAAGCATCAGTAAGAAAGAATGATTGAAAGATAAAAATCGAGAATCAGTTTAAATAAATATTTATTATATATTGCAGGGTTGTGATCAGCAGAATAACCAACCTTATTGGACTGATATTTATACTTTCTCCATCATTATCATACTACCAACAATTCTTAATGGAATTTTTAATTTATTAATAGTCTGCTCAGTACGTCGTTCAACGCGTCGTGTTCAACCATTGGCAACAGCTGTAAATTCTGTTGTAAATTCACCACATCAGAATGCTCGAGACCTTTTTTTAGTGAAACACATGCTATTTATTCTTATAGTCTTCTTAGTGGGATGGGCACCTGTGTATATTCTTACATTAATTACTTTAAATACACCATTAGTGTCAACCATTTCTCTATCCTTACAAATTCTGCCTCCCATTAGTTCACTCATCAATATCCTGGATTTGTTCTTATACAATCATGATCTTAGAAAATACCTAAAAGGAAAACTTTTGTATTGTTTACACTTCAATCGAAATTAAAATAAAATAAATGTTTCTTTTCTTTATTTAATCATATGAGTGTGGGTGTGGGTATGGGTCGGTCGGCCGGTCGGTCGGTGCGAGAGTATAATAGAGATAGCCGCCTACGCTCTCAATTTAAAACTAAAAATATTATGATATTCGTTACAGTAGAAGAGCTTTCAAAACAATTTGTATGTTTCAACAGAATTGTAAACCTGAGATTGTAATCACGTTACTTATTCTGTAGGTTGCTAGGCGCATCACAGAAACTTCAAAGAAAGTTTTAGTTAACACTGATAATTGTTTTTCCTATAACAATACTTCAAATCATTATTACATCAAATTTCATTAGTGAAGAACTTGGCAGTATTTAGTAGTGTTCAATTCGGCTTATGTCATATACGTATATTCTAATATAATTCATAAATACGAGACCTTGTCATTTATGTAACATACTTGCGTTTGTTTAAAACAATATCAATGAATAAACAAAATTAAGCAACAATTATTACATAAAAATAGAAGTAATCTAAAAAAAGACTCATTGTCTACATAATGATGGAGTAGACCAAACTATGAACTGCAAATAATACATAAATACATCTTCCCGCGATGATCAAAAAAAAATTAAAAAAATATATCAATTAATATAAAAATAAACTGTGAATAATGAAGTTCATGTATCTTTTTTTTCCATTTATAATATAAAAGAGTAAAATATCATTATTTTTTTCTAATTTTAATATTAAAATAAAAACAAATGATCAAAGTTTACTATATATATCTATTCAATCTAAACAAGAAAGAAAAGTTTCACGATTTCTATAAATCATAATTCAAATCTTGAACCAAAAAATAACTATTTCAAAGTATATTTCATCATCTAACACATACAACAGTACAAATTTGCAAAGAAAAACATCGTTTTAGATAATTTTCTAATCAATAAATAAATAAATAAATAAACACATTTAATTATTAAAACGACTCATGGAATATCTCAAGTATATTTAAAACTTCATATCTTAACTAATTCAAAAAACGAAGTAAATATGATCCCAGATTTGAAAGTTAATCGCGAATTTCATTAGTAACAACATCTCACTGCAAATAAAATACTTCATTAACGACAGTCTGTTTTTGACATACAAAAAAAAAAGAGAAAAAAAAAGATTGTAAAATGCACGTTATTATCTCATCACATTTCTTATATCATTTTTCATTAATTATTTTAACTTGCCACTAGTCACAACAGTATTCATAAAAGACAAAATAAAAATGTCGTCACTAGCTGCCTCAA